GGTGAGTGGAGCGGCCGCGCGCGCGGCGGGGAAGGGGGGCAGCGGGTCCCCGAGAGCCCGGGCTGTGCCATCCGCAAAGGCCTGAGGTCGGCACGGAGCATCTCCCAGAGTCATAAAGGAAACCGGCCCGCCCCAGCCTGCGTACTGAAAAAGCCTGGAAAGCTCCTCGATTCATGCTTGTTGCCTCTTCCAATTATTCCTGCACAGCCCTTTCCTAGTTCCTGTTCGGGTTTATGTACACTTGGGGTGTAGCTTCCTCTCGTCTATTTTATTTTCCACACTGTGGCCTGGGTGGTAAATACAACGCGGTCACGTGCTGCCTACAGCAGCGGCTGTACTTATGGATCTGATTAAGGAATAACTACTTGGTGCTGGCTCCCTTGGCCTGCTGGCGTGGCAGGACACGCGGCTCCGAAATGCCCTTGTGCTGCTGATGCTGTTTTGTCGTGGTAATTAAATCTTGGTTTAGTTGCCAAAACTGCCTATAAAAATGCAAGAATAACATTGTAGCTTAAATTTCTTTCATATATTGCTCACCAGGTGATAGACACGTAAGGAGTCGAGCAAATACAGAGATACTTCAGCGGCTGCAGAAGAAGTAGTATTTGCCTTTGCTTGGATGGCATTTCTTTTCTTGTGGTATCTACTGAAGGCCTAACGTGAAACCAAGTGGCTTTTCAGAGACTGCAAGTTTTCTCTGAAGAAGTTTGATATTTTAAAGTCATTTCTCTGTTGATGGAGCATGTTAAATCTATCACTGCTTCACTGACATGATGAAGCAAACAGGAACCATTGCCAGGAGTAGGAGTGAATGTGGGCTGGTTTCCTCATGCTTCTGAGTTAAAAAGGTTAAAAAAAAAAAGTCTCTGGGTAAAAATGGAATCGCTGCAAAGGCATGGGTGATGTTTCCAAAATTATATTAAATAAAACCTTCAAAAATAGAAAGAGAAGCAAGTCTCCTAGAAGCTTAAATTTTGGTTCGTTGATAGTTTTTTTACATGGGTGCCTTTATTTATTAAAAGCCCACTAAAGTAATTACTCTAAAAATATTAAAATGCGATTACACATAAAAGGATGTATAAATTAGAGTAGAACTTCAGTTGCAAGTTGAACTTCAACCGTGATTTTTTTGCAAAACAGCTATAAAGAGAGGTGTCTTTTCTATATGATATTTTTAGAGAGCCTCTCTAGAAAATACAGTCTTTTCTATATGATAATGCTAAGAGAATATGGTTTAGAATTTATTTTTAAGGATCGCCTTGCATACTCCTTCCCAATTTTTTAGAACCTGATCTGGTGGTAAAAAGACAGGAAGCTTTGGCAGCAGCTCGCCTCCGAATGCAAGAGGAGTTGAATGCACAAGCAGAGAAATACAAAGAAAAACAGAAACAGGTAACTGGCAAACAGTTCTGTCTCTAACTCTCAAATTTGTCGTCAGGCTCTTTGCTGCCCCTGCAGAAGGGTTTACTCTATGCTACATAATGGAAGAACAGTAGGCTCCATTGCTGTTGGGTAGTGGGTAGAGTTTTTTTCCCCCCTCCTTTGTCATCTGGTCCAATTTTTATACAACTTGATAGCAATAATTGGCATTAAATGCCATGAGGGGCTTTTGCTGATCCAACCACATACTTACTATATTCTCTGTTGACTTGAGGTCATGCTGCTCTTTATGGATTGGAACGGTTAATGCATTTAGAATTCTGCTCCTTCAGATAATTGATCTCGTTGGCAGTCACTTCTCCACAAACAGTGGTGTCTGTGGAGCACTGTGTGTCTCGTTTTATTTTTTTTACAGACAATTTGGTACTTTGGAAAGCTTACTTACATGTGCAGGTGAATCACTAGAGGGGAGTTGCTGGCATTTAGATTAACTGAACTATCACATACATTTGCCCCTAAGAACAGAAAATGAATGTAAGTTCTTAGGAAATACAGTTTACTTCAACGTGCTGTAATTTGAAGTTCTGAAGTATCATTTGTGATATGAGACATATCATACAGCTTCATGGAGCAGCATAGAGAAGTGGATGTGATCAGGGTAGAGATTATACTGCTTGCTAATCCCAATTCTTTTATTTGATTTTTGCAGTCAGCTACGTTCAGACTTTTGGTCTGCAGATGGTTGGAAAAAATGAATGTTAGTTTGAAAAATAAATGCTTCCAAAAGCTCAGAGATACTTGTTTTTTGGGGGGATCTGTTGTAGCTTTTTTTTGTAGCACGAGCAAATCTATCGGTTCTAAAATCTTAATCTTGCGTATCGTGGATTTGTTTCTTAGCTTGAAGAAGAGAAGCGAAGGCAGAAGATAGCAATGTGGGAAAATATCC